TAGCAGAACCTCCCTATACTGTAAAAGCAGAAATTTTCGGTGGTGTTTTATTTTCGGCAACTTCGGTGCCGAAATTTTCACCGAAAATAAAACGCACCGAAAATGCCGGTATAGTACCGTAAAGTACCGTTGATCCGCCCCCTCTCTAATTCCCGCCCCCTGTCGATTTTCTCCTTGTGAAGCGACTTCGGCGTATACAACGAAATACGATGTTGAACCGACGCATGCACTGCTGTACACAATACTTGCCAATCCAGGATGAAAATGTGCACAATCCAGCACATTGTGTCTGATCGTCTACGTTGTTGTACACCGTACTGCACTTGACAGCCTTGATCTAATTCCCGCCCCCTGCCGAAAACCCAGCTGGGAAGCGACATAGCGTGGGGGCGGATCAACGGTACTTTACGGTACTACATGTACACTTACCTGGAACGCGGGTTTACCGAAAATTTCCCTCCGCCGAACCGCCGATTTTGGAGAATACCGAAAATATTACACCACCGAAAATTTCTGCTTTTACAGTAGTCTGAACGCGCCCGTAAAATAGGGACCTTTCGCATTTGCTACGAGTCGAATGCGAAACGAAAGTTTGATTCGGCTCGTAATCGTTTCGTTGAAAACAGAATTCAGGTTTCACAAGTCGTAATGCAAATGTGCATGGCAACTACGAATACGACCGGTAGCTTGGCGTACGGGTGTGTTCGCGCACACGTGCATGGATCATGGAATCAAGGGAAAAAATGTGTACCTGGCAAAACATGTGTACCTTGCAAAAAAATGTGTACCTCACGGATTCGGAGCGTGCCACGAATGAAGAGGCTTCCATTCGTGAAAAAGAGCTCTACGCGGCGACTCTGACGAATCCTCGAACCCAGGTGACGAATCAGCAGTCGTTTCGTATCCGTACGCGTGGTGCGAAAGGTCCCTAGTAGGGCCGATTCCCACTACGGTACCGTGAGTGCCGTGCCGTGAGTACCCATGGTGATTTGCTCACGTGAGGGGCAGTTTTGGCGCGAGTTGTTGTTGATTTTTATTTTACTTCGCAAGGCCAAATGGTGCCCAATTCTATGGAAGCGAATAGTTCGTTCCGTGGCTCCTGCCGTACCGCGCCGTGGACATTCCGGTGCCGAGGGGCGAGGGCCTCTGGGGGGGGGGGGAAATGGCATACCGTGGTATTCCGCGAGGTCGAATGCAGTGAGTAGTAGGTATTTTACTACTCCCTGAAAGGAAGTTTTCTTTCTTTTGTATTTGTGGTACGAAGTTTTTTCTTGGCTTTTGGCTTTTCGATTGGTTGATTCTTGAGCTTTCTCCAGTCATCTCCCCGGCCCCCGCTATTTTCCCTCAGGACCAAAGTCAGAAATTGATAAAAAAAATGGTCACGGATCCGGCCTGCCGACGGAATGCACGGAATGACTGTGCGCAGATGAAAATCACTCTCAACTATGTTACTTCAAGCTCGTACCGTGGGGTACACGTGACCTACCCAAATCGTCGGCACGGCACTCACGTCGGTACCGTAGTGGGAATTAGTCATAGCCCAAATTTGCTAGCAATTCTTTGAGCAAAATATCGGATGCGCAAGTTGCCAGCAATTTTTGAGCAAAAAAATTATCGAGTTTTGGTGGGCTTTTCCGAAAATCCAAGGCTTCTCAACGCAATCTGTCACCAAGGTTGAAAACAAGCACAAAAGTTGGACAAAACAGACTCATGGCCACATTTTGTAGAAAGTTGAGCAGCAGCAGGAGCTAAATCAAAAATTCCCTCTTCACCAGCGAAAATTATCGTTGAGTTTTCCTTGAAACTCATTTTTTCTCGAGCAAAACCAAAAGCAAAATACCGACGGAAAAAGGAAATGCCAAGCAGAATATCGAAAATTTTGTGGCAAAATTGTGCGGCAAAATATCGATGTGCGCTGAGCAAATAATAATTATTCATTTGGGCCATGACTACAAGCAGGGAGTAGTACAATACCATAATATATAATATATATTATTGTACTACTCCCTGACTACAAGTTTTTCGATTTTGACAGCATGTTACAAGGCGAGGACGCGTAGTGCTCCTGACTACAACCATAAACCGGTTGGCAGAGTCCCGGTCTTGCGGCATTGCGTCCTCGCCTTGTAACATCAAGAGTACATAACTGGGGGGTTATGTACTCTTGGTAACATGCTGTCAAAATCGAAAAACATGTTAAGGAGGCTCCCACCTAAAGAAGTAAAAATAGAAGGTCCATGGACACCCTGTTTTTTATGCATAGAATGGTGGAGTGATGTCTCCTCTTCAATTTGGTATAGTTTTTAGGTAGGGTCACCAGGCATATAAGAGGTATTCTGGTGTATTTAGTGAGTGTACAATTTCTTCATTTTCGGCAAAAAAATGGTAAAAAAATTTGGTTTTTGACCCAAAGAAGCCTCCTGGAAGGAGGATACTAAGTATTTTCTTCATCATGTGTTTAAGAACCACATTTGGAGGTATCTTGGGTACACAAGATAGACTGTGTCTTGGTTTTGCCCTTGGTGAGTCACTTTCTCGAAATTACGGGTACCGAAATTTCCATCGGGAGCTGAATTGTGAAATGGTTCAGCCTGCAACATTTTGTCCATGGACATATTGATTTTTGTGGCTTTCTGTGATCCTTGAGCCCCAAGGAAACCGATAATAGACAGTTTTGATGGTGTCACCAGGCACTTTAGGCCCCTACGAAACAATATAGGTGTCAAAATATGGTATTTCAAGGCCAATTCCGAAAATAGCATTTTTAGAAAATCTGACCATTCTTGCCTTCTTGACTAAATAACGCTACCAATGACATGGTGGTATGGTAATATATTTTAGAAGAAGTTATTTTTATGCTGCAACCTCCTTTGGACATACCAGATAGTCTGTGCTTGGAAAGGTACAAAGGTACATGTATAATTACATATATGTCATGTAGCCTTCAGCCCTAGCACATTGATATACGAGTAGTGTACATGTACATGTACATGTAAGGCAGCGAGGTTTCATAACATTCTCGACCATGAAACTGGCACATGGATAATGTGAAAGCAGGCATTCAAAATCAGGCACACTAAACACTCACACGCGTGCGTGCACACGCACATAAACACCCACCCACTCTCGTGCACGCATCATTGTAACACTACTAGTACATAGTAGGACTTAGTGTAAATAGAAGCATGAAAACCAGCCACTGCACTGGGCATGCATTTGCTGGTTGTCACTTGTGTTCATAGCAGCAGACTCCAGAAAAACATACGCATGAAGGGCAATATGCATCTACACACGCTGGCGTGCACACATACGATATAGTGCACTGTCATTACCTCTTGGCAATTCTTTTTTGTGTCTCGAATGCGGTTCACAAATGCGCATTCACATGCACCTCCTGAACTGTAAAGCCACTGCCACACTGTCCTTGCGGACACCAGAGAGAAGAGCCATACAGAACCAGCACCGTGAGCTCCCCCCCCCCCCCCCCATACACACCTAGCTTTGCACACACGCACGTGCATACACACATACATGTACACAGACATTTGCATGCACATGCACCCAGTGCACTCGTGAGAACATGTGCATCACCCAGATCAACATTGCGTACGAACCCACACATGCGGGCACGAGCACGCGCGCACACACGCGCGCATACACACGCGTGCACACACACACGTGCGCACACACACACACACGTGCGCACACACACACACTCATACACCTGCTCAACGCTGAAGCGATGATAGCGAACAAACTACGTTAGACATAGCAACTTGTGCTCGGATTACACCTTTCAACAGCTTGCACACACACGCATGCGTGCACGCGTATACACACACGCGCGCGCGCGCGCGTACACAAACACACACACACGCGCGCACGCGCGCGCGTACACACACACAAACGCATGTACTTGCGCATAGGAAAGGATTCAAAATATGCAGCCATAGACAATTACCCAATGCACACCTGAGTGTGCACATCTTAGTTGTGACATCCCCATTTTTACAAGAGCAGGATTTAGAAGTTCGTCCCTGGTTCAGAACACAAGCTTCTGGGGAGCGTTTTCCTTACACCATCAGTACAGTACAGTGGTTGACACGAATCTCATTTCTACAGGGACAGTAGCCCATGTTCAGCAGCTCTGAGATGCGTCGTCCACTGAGCTCAGGATACTCAAGGATCCACAGAAAGTTTCAACGGCACTCGTGCGACTGGAGCTGCAAGTGGGTCCACTTACCAGCGAGTGGGCAGCCACTTCACGCTCGACAGGTAGTCCATACTAAATACCAGTACTAATATCACTACATTCGACATCGATGTCTTCACTGACTTCAGCCTGCTTTTCTCATCATTCTTCGTCAGTAATTATTATTTTGTTCTTCGTGGCCACCGCGTACCGCTTCAGCAAAGTTTTCAGAAAAAATCAAGCAGCGTAGGAACTGCCTTTGTTTTGCATTAGCCATGGCCAGTGATTCTTTCCAGCGTAGAAACTGCCACGGCTACAGAAACACTGCAACGAGTAGAACAAGTACATGTACATCCTGGAACAACTGCGAGCACAGAGAATCAAAAAACTTCTTTCTGAACAACACTTGTCAACAGCTTGTTTCCGCATGGAACACGATATTTTTTGAATCTCGCGGCAAAAAACAGATTCTCGAGGTGCCCTTTTTACACTGCGCTGCGCAACTGTTCGGAGCCTCCTTAAACTACAATGTACCAAGCAAGGCTTCTGTATATCCCTGACTACAAAAAAAAAAAAAAAAAATGTACAAGTAGTGGGAATCAGGGAGTCGTCAAATACGGTATTTGACGACTCCCGATCCCTAGTAGCTAGTCCCTGGTTCATGGTGGGAAATGTTACGAGTAGGAGTCACGTGATTGTGACTAACGGGCGCGCCCCGCGGCGCGGCACGTCATCCAGATTCTACATCTTCGGAAAGGTTGTTTTTTTGTGTGTAGTTTTTTTAGAACGCGAACACGCTGCATATTTTTCAAATCTTTGTCTGGAACTGAGAATTAGAAAGCAAGGACAATGTCAATGGAGTGACTACAAGTACAAGCTCAGTATTCCAGAGTTTGTAAAAGAAATGCTCAGGTCCGCTCTGCGGGACGTTGTTACTAGTATGTAGAAAAGGTTGTTGACGTAGCACCGAAGCGAGGGTCATCTGATAATGCGGCGTTTACTGCCCGACTTCTCCTCACCGGAGCAGCGCAATGCGCTGGGTTATGCTGCTACAACGCTGGCAGCTTCCATGATGAACTCCATATTCCAGTTCTACTATGTGAAGTTGTACTTGGATGTTTACAGGTACGCAGTATGTGTGCACACGCCAGACAGTTTCTTGGGATCGGGAGAGCTTGATTTGACTGAATTTGACTGACACTGCACAAGAGGTAAAATTATTGTTCTTGCTGTGAACTGAAAGAAGACGACGACTAAAGCGCAAGGCGCTTGCGCAGAGCAAAAAAGGAGGAAAAAACATGGAGGAAGTCGCCAAGAGGCGAGTGAGTCAGTAGAAATAATAAACACGCGGCCCCGCTTCGGTGTGTGAACGCGGAAACAAACCGGGGTAGAGAACACAAACTATGACGTGTACTGCAAATAATCTCATGACGTTGAACATCATGTCAACGTCGTGACACTCCCCCGCAAGAGATGTAGAGAAAAGGAGATAATTCGTAACAAAGTAACGTGGAAACAAAACACAATAAGTGCATATATTACGCAAGGGTGAAAGAGAGTAGACCGTCACACACAGAGAGAGAGAGAGAGAGAGAGAGAGAAAGAGAGAGTTCAGATGTGAACTACCAACTGTCTAGCTGATTCAACTAAACAAGTTCGCTGCCAATTAATTGGCGAAGCGTCTGACGTTGCTTCTTAGCGGCAGCACGTTGTGGACGACTGGGTGGAGCAACAGCTGCTGGAACTGGCAGATCGGCTTGGCCAGTGGTGTGTGTGTCCGGAGCGGTGCTGTTGTTGTTAGCCTCGGAGTTAGCAGCAGGACAGATAGGGTACAAGAGAGACAGGGGTCGTTTGAGCTCTGTCTTCTCTGCAGTGATGACGGTTGCGGAACGTATCTCCATGTCCTTGCTTGTATGGAGAGCGACAATGTGCCATACATGTCACTAGGAGGACCCATACCTTCTTGGTACTTGGCTGGTGCTTGACGAGCAGAGGACCGAAGTAATCTAGTCCCACATGGGTGAACGGGATAGATCTTGTTGCGCGGGCAGATGGAAGCGGGGCCATATCTGGGGTGCGGTATGGACCACCGTGGTGCTTCCGGCAAGTCAGGCACTTAGTGATGAATGACTTCACTGTTGCACGCCCTCGTGGTAACCAGTACTCGTAACGCAGTCTTGATAGCGTGTGTGCAACGCCGCCATGCATCGTCATCAGGTGACAATCGTTGATGATGAGCTGGGTGATGGGATGCGTTTGGGGAATCAGTACTGGATACTTTGCTTGATAGCAAAGTTCGGCGTTCTCCAAGCGTCCTCTGCATCTGATGAGGCGGTTCTCATCGAGGAAGAGCCGCAGCTTGTCCTTCGGGCTGTGCTTCTTACAATTTTCGACAGCACTGACGTCTGACAGATTCTGTTGTGCATGGTGTAGCCACATGATTTTGGCTACCTTGACCTCTGAGTTACAACTAGAATCCACCCCGAAGGACTTGCCGCCTTGTGGTCTCAACCTGGAGAGAAACCGCAAACACAGAGCAGAAACACGCACTAAGGCACTGAAAGACGAAAACCTGGCACAATCAATACCAAATGGTGGTTCATCACATGTTTTTTTTTGTTCGTGATGCGCATCAGGCTTTTTTTTCATTTCGTGTGCAAGCTCAGTGTCTGGACCGGTGGACTCTGTTGGGTGTGATACAGGTGCAGGTATCTCCGAAGTGCTTGAAGGACCCTCCCCAGCGGCAACGTTGACATGGTGATCAAGTGCTGGCTCGGCGTGATGGTCAGCAGTGGCAAGGAAGTGTGGACCGTGCCACCATAGCGAGCTGGCTTGAAGGGAAGGAACAGAGACACCGCGTGAAGGCAAGTCGGCGGGATTGTCGGCAGAGCGGACATAGCGATAGGCAACATCGGGAACCGCACGAATGGCATCAATACGGTTGTTGACGAAGACAGGTAGTTTGTCAGAAGAGGCCAGCCAATGGAGAACTGTGGTGGAGTCTGACCATAGAAAGGTAGAGGAGAAAGTGAGCGGAAGTTCCCGACGGACGAATTGGATCAGACGAACACCGAGAAGCGCGGCCATTAATTCCAGACGTGGAATGGTAGGTGAAGCAACAGGTGCAACACGGGACTTGCTGATTAGAAGGTTCGACGTGTGTTGATCGTCAAACGTAGTAGTAAGGTAAGCAACGGCACCGTAAGCCAGCCCAGATGCGTCGCTGAAGACGTGGAGAGAAAACCGAGCGTCGCTGGCACGTGGTGCACTGATGAATCGTGGACATTTCGTTGATGCAGCAAGTTCAAGTTGAGCCGCAATATCACACCATCTACAAATGATGTCTTGTGGAAGGTCGTCGTCCCAGCCGACGTTCAGCTTCCAAAGATCCTGAAGCAGAATCTTCGCACCAACAAGAACAGGAGACTGGAGACCAAGGGGGTCAAAGAATTGGGCAGTATGTCGAAGGATACTCCGCTTCGTTGTGGCCGACTTGGATACGGCACTGACAGGTGCAATATGTAGAGTATCATGTTCTGTATCCCACAGCATACCGAGGCACTTGTGGATAGTACCCTTGGCTCGGTCTGGTTCTGGAATGCTGCTAAGAAACTCTGCAGAATTACTAGACCACTCGCGAACATTCATAGACGCAACACTGAAGAGGCGCTTCGTGGCATCATAGATAGCAATCGCCTCCGTCCCAGAGTTGGCACCAAGGAACAGGTTGTCAACGTAAATATTGCGAGACACTAGGTCGGAATCTGTTGTATCAGCAGCGCTAAGATGATGCTGAATAGTGGCAGCCAAGAGATATGGACTGCTGACAACGCCAAACGGAACACGACAGAAACGAAGTTGTCGTATGTTGTCTGGAGTAGCTGAGCTGGATGCATCGTGCAGCCATAGGAAGCGGGTCACGTCACGATCATGTGAGTGCAGACCAATCTGCAGAAAGGCCTTTTCTACGTCTCCACTTAGTACTGAATGGTGTGGAAGGTAGTGAATCTGGTTGGTTGTAAAACCACGAGGAACATCTTCTATCATGCCCCTGTCAAGCTGGTCTTGAATCACGGTATCGTACTGGTCAAGAAGTTCCGGATGGGCTTCGAGGCGACGCACTTGTGCCTTCAGGCGACCGAAAGCCAGACCGTAGTTTGTCGGAAGAGGAGGATGTGAGTCCCTCCAGGGCCAACTCACCGCGTACCGACCCTCGGCAAAGGAGATGGAGTTGGCGAAGCGCTCGCCCACAAGATCTTGCGACGACGTATCGTCAAAAGTACCCAAGCTCTCTGTCGACCAGAACTTACGGAGGTCGAATTCAGGGTCCGTGTCTGTTTGATGAGCAAGACATGACTGCGCCTCTGTGGTGGCAGGCACAGGCAGACTGCCGGTACAGATAAAACCAAGAACGGAGTCGAGCAAGACCAGACCACCGCTTAGTTCGGTGCGGTCCTTGCCGATAATATCATAATAGTGATCGAGACCAATCAAGACGTCTACGACCATGGGCTCTGCGCTGCTGGAGAGCGGTTCTGCAAGTGGCAGAGACTGTAGAAGAGGAAAAGAAGAAGCAAGTGGACATCGCGCAATTGGAGCGGTTATGTTCGGAAGTACACTGGCCTGAATCGCACGAGTGGACCCATCCTTACACTGCATGGTCAAACTCACCTTGGCGTACACGGTACTTTTTCTTTTGTTGTTCCCAAATGTAGCCAAGGAGAGTGTTTCATTTCCGATTGTGGGCAAATCGAGCTGATCTCGATAAGCTTGCGTGATGTATGTCTTGGTGGAGCCGGTATCAAAGAGAATACGGCCATTGATCGGCTTCAGCTTGGAGGAGAGAAACGGTGCCACAGCAGTTTGCATCATGATCTGGTGATCGGCGTTTGCGACCGTGCTCGTGGCAGGCTTGGGTTTGAAGGACTGAGCATTCGGGCTCATAGTGGAAGCTTGCCTCTGAGTGGATGCGGCAGTGAATTTATCTGGACACAAGCTGCTGTGGTGTGCAGGATTGTGGCAATAGAAACACCGCCGTTTGCTAGAGCAATCGTGCACGGAGTGGCCTGATCGCAAACACTTGAAACACCTTTGTTTAGCTACGCTCTTCCTCGCTTCTACTGTAGTGTACTTATTGCATTCGTCAGAGAAATGTGCCTCCGAACTGCAAAAAACACACACTCTCTTGGGCTTCGCTTTTGAAGTAGCTGAAGCTGAGGCAACAAGAGATTGACCGGACGCACTGGCAGATGGTGATTCGTGCGATTTTTTCGGTGGCTGGCTGAGGCGATCTGCTGCTTCATTCGCTATTATGAAGTTGGCTACTGCAGCGCGCAAGTCCGAAACGGTCCAGGATTGTGGCCCCTTTTTTAATTCCAAAGCCGCTAGCGTGGTGCGTGGCAATTTGTTCGTAATCATTGACACAAACACCGCCTGATTAACATTCTCACCAAGCGCTGTGAGGCTTCGCAAGTGCACCTCCAACGCATCGTGCAACCTACGCAAAGATGGAGTAGCGTTGGACGCAGGCGGTAAGTCCATGATTGCCGTGTAGTGTGCATTGACGCGAAGCTGATCATTCCCGAAACGTTTGCGGAGAATGTCAAGCGCGGTTGTGTAGTTGGTATCTGATATGGGCAAGCCAGCTATGGCATCCCGAGCCAAACCCGTTACGTGATCTCTTAGGTACGACAGTTTCTGGACACCCGACAACCCTTGATTCGCATCAATAGACGCAACAAACATATCGTGAAACTCAGCCCATTTCAGGAAATCACCAGAAAATGTTGGTATTTCAAATTTGGGCAAATTGACTGAACTTGTGGGAGCTGGTTGTGGTTGAGGTGATGATGCTTGCATGTGTTGTACGACTAGTTGGTGTTGTTTGATTAGATCCTCTTGCGACTGTAATACTTGCTGGTGTTGACTATGTGTAATAGACTGCGTACGAACAAGATCTCCTATTGACTGTTGGATGCTGGACAAATCAACCATACTAGTTTCTTGTTTGATACCCGCACTGCCCGTACTCTTGGTGCTACTTGGTGAGCTAGTACTAGTAGTAGCAGCTTCTGGACGGTTCGTCTGGGCTCTGTACTGCGGAGATCGCTTGCATTCAACAATTGACCCTCTGATGCGTACCGAATACGCAACCACATCGCAGATCTCCGTTTGCAGAGCCTCATCTGAACCCTCCAGAGTCTCCGAGTCCAAAACACTGGCCAATGCATCACACGCCTCATCATATGCGTACAATTCTTCAACAATACAATCCACAAGTGTACTTAGCTTTTTTGGATCCGAGTCCACGTGTTCTGGCGACAACTCGTCGGCCCTTTGACCTCCTTCCTTCGATAAAAGGAGTTCGGCCTCTTTGACGAGTTCGTCGATGGATCCTTGCAGCTGCGCGATCTTGGCCCGGCGCATGATCTGCGTGCCGGTCGTCACTGCTCTCTTCGGCATGTTAGCTCGACGACCCAAATCGGGCAAGCTGCTTACAAATTATTTGAGTCGAGTCTATCTTTCTCAAGATTGGAATGGTATCCCGGGTTTCGGCACCACTTTGTGCACACGCCAGACAGTTTCTTGGGATCGGGAGAGCTTGATTTGACTGAATTTGACTGACACTGCACAAGAGGTAAAATTATTGTTCTTGCTGTGAACTGAAAGAAGACGACGACTAAAGCGCAAGGCGCTTGCGCAGAGCAAAAAAGGAGGAAAAAACATGGAGGAAGTCGCCAAGAGGCGAGTGAGTCAGTAGAAATAATAAACACGCGGCCCCGCTTCGGTGTGTGAACGCGGAAACAAACCGGGGTAGAGAACACAAACTATGACGTGTACTGCAAATAATCTCATGACGTTGAACATCATGTCAACGTCGTGACAGTATGTACACGCTGTGTGCGTGTTTACAAACGTGTATGCGTGCCGGTGTGCATGTATGTGTGTGTGTGTTTTTGCGCAAGTGTGTGTGTGTGTGCGTGTGTCTGTTTTTGTGTATGCGTCCGTGTGTGTGCAAGCGTGCGTGTGTGCGCGCGCACGCGCACGTGTGTACAAGTGTGTGCCTGTGTACACTTGCGTGCAGTCGTGTGTGTTTATGGAAGT